ATTTAAGAAAACGATATACCTTGTTCTGATTTCGATGGGCCTATCCTACCTGAGTTAACGATATTGGCTTTAATATTGTTTGGTTCCCTTGCAGGTCCATGCCTATTGTGAAGATAAGTTGTGTGTTTAAGAATCGTTTTAACATGTCCTATTGAAAGATTAGGTGACTTCCAATCATTCTACAAGAAAACACCATTACATTTTGTTAAAATAACAAAATTGAAATTTGGAATATTTTGGAAGTTACAAAATTAAAAGTTCAATGACAGATTTGGATTCCTTTTTCAAAATTAAACAGGATATGTCTTATACTGAAAGACGATCAGAGTCGAAATGGCAAAGTTATTGGCCCCCAAATGGGTAAATGTGTGCAAAAACGACCAAATTGTTAAATGGGGGGGGGGGAATAACTGTGCCATTTCGATTCCGATCGTCTTGGAGCATAAAACATTTTCGTTTTCTTTTGTCAAGATGAACTCGGAACAATAGTTAACTTCTCACATTCCTCCTGAATCACTACCCCCTTCCCCCCTCCAACTTACGTAAGAAAACACGTAAACCATTCAAAATATCACTTTCGTTTCTTCTCACCGGACACTCGCGAAACTTCGTAGGTCGAGTTCCGCAACTTTAAAACTAAAAGTAACACACTCGGTTTGACAATCGGACAATTTAATCACTTGTGAGAGAGTATCAAAGACGCGAAGTGAGCGCCGCAGCCGATGGTGCTCTTCACCCACTCGAGTGCAGTGCTGCCAACATACCAACGAACTATGCGCGAATTCAAATAAAACGATTGAATATTTCAGAGCTGACCAATGCATCAAATAATGCACACAGATAATACTCGTGAATTGTCGATTCTTAGACAAACACTCTTTTAGCTGTCAGTGCAGCACATTTTGAGGAGATACGGAATGTTACGCACAGACAGACAGACTCACGACGGAGACATCGCCTGACCCCTCAGCGACTTGGACTGAGCTTCGCTCAGCGAAAACACAACAAGGAGCTGCGACGGCGAGCAGCAGAAAAAAAGTTTCTTCCTCTCGGACAGCGGCAGAGGCGCTGTAAGGGGTCCTTACGATACGGAGCGGACACCTCGGAGAGACAGTCATGCTCCCCCGGGGAGGGGGCAGGGCGTGCTAATGGGCCCGGCGCTGAGTGCCGGCCAGCGGGCAGCGGCGCCTCGGGCTCAGCGCCCCGAGGACAACATGGGCTGGACGAGGGACGTGGCCGCGGGCGGGGGCCGCGCCCAGCACGTCCTGGAGGAGAGCGCCGCGGAGCACGTCCACGGCCCGCTGGACGTCAATGGCGACGGCGTCCTCCTGTCCTTTTTATTACGAGAAGCTGCAGAAGCAGAGCCCGTGAGGATCCCGCGGGGAGAATCTCTGCACGACACGCTGAGCACGGCCCTGCAGCGCACAGCGGCCGCCCGAGAAACACATCCTGCCGGAGTCCAATGCGCGGCACCGCGGCAGGGGTCCAGTTAGTTCCAAAGGCTCACAGCGCTGCACCATTCGTCATCATAGGTTGGCTCCGGTCGGCTGCGATGTGCCGGCCAGGGCCCGGGCCGGGCTGGGCCGGGCTGGGCCGGGCTGGGGCCGTGAACACTCCCCATGACCTCGACTCAAACGTACGCTCGAATGCAAGCGCGCACGCGCACATGATGACACTCGTCCGTCAGTCCGTCAGGCGCTGACAGCTCTCACTTTTCATCTGCTGTGCAGGGGTGCACCCTGTGCCCCCCCCCCCTCCTTTCCCTTCCCCCGCCACTTTTGAGAATGTAGCGCGCGTGTGCGTGTGTCTGAGTGTGTTAGTCGGTTCCATTATGAAGTAAGCGGCTGCCATGGAATGGAGCTTTGCTAGGGGCAAGCGGCCAACAGCGCCGGCAAACGCCCGAGCAAAAGCGTTCTCGCGAAATTTGTGGCGCTGCTGAGAGGCCAGGGTATAGATGAGGGATTCGCTCTCACATTGCTTGCCCCGCCCCGCCCAGCCACAGCGACCGGAATGCAGCAGCGGGCCTGGCACGTGGGCACGCAATGCCGCTGGTGCATGACGCCCTCCGGCCGCGGAATAGAAAAGTTTGGAATATTTACTCCTTTTTTATATTTTTTGGTCGGACGCCCTCCACCCTCTAAACAGTTCCTATCCCCCTCCCCCTCTCTCGCACCACATCTTGGCAGGTGCCGCGCTGCTCCAGTTTAGGTCCGAGCCGAACTCGACGAGTGAAATTCCCTCCCCCTCCCCCTCCTCCCCTGCCGGGCCGGGCCGGGCGGGTGGCAAAGCAAACCGTGTGAGATGGCTATCACGTCGGCGTGGCCAGGCAGGCGGGCCGTGTTGAAATAAATCCAATTAAAAGCCTACGTTGTACGGAGGCGGAAGCGCAGGGAGAGGCGCCCGGCTTGCGTCATCACGGTTGCGCAGGCTGCGCTGACATATCGATAAAGACTTTAAATTGTTGTTGCGCACTTAACAGTACCGAGGTTATATGCTTCCGCAAGAAAACTGTTGAACACTAGGGGGTGCACTGGCGGTACACTTCCGAAGTGCGCAACAACTTGTATTCATCACTTGCATGCATGTATCAGGTTACACTTGCAGTTTGCCGGTGCCTGTGCTTTACGGGGACTAAGCGCCTGCGACACTCAGGGTAGGCCACACCGCCGTACACACATGCGCTGAAGGCGAAGTGTTGCCTACCTACCAGGCGCTCTGCGAGCTTTGTATGGCCTGAACCTGGGAGGTTGCTGAAGGCGAATGACGGACGTACTTTTCTGGATGATGCCTTAACAACCAAGGCGCAGGGGGTCGGGAGGGCGTGAGCAGGGATGTGAGGCTGATGGAACGCCAGGCGGCGAACGCTCCCTATTTTGAGGTAAAAGCACCGCGGTTGTGGCGGCCGCGTCGCGTCCGGCCGGGCGGCGCCTGTGCGCCGGTCTCTAATCGCCCGATTAACCCGCTTCAGCTCCGCTTAGCGCCGCGTCGGCTGGCCGGACGGTCACACCGCAAAGCCGCAGCGCAGCCCGCCGCCCGCGACACGAACTGTTTGCGAATCAAAAGTAGAGCCGCACCCGCACACCACACCCACAAACAGTATCACAGACGAGATGGCACCGCGGCCAACGGAAACTATGTCGAAGTAAAAGTGGTCGCGGTCAGCGCCGCAGAGGTGCACTCGTCGGAGCGAAAACAGGACGAATAGAATGGAACCCCAAAAGAATTGATTCTGTCTTTTAGTCATTTCTGTAACACGTTCGCTGCGGCGTGACCAATATGTGGCCAGGCTCCAAAACACCCAAAATGCACAGCCACAGTGAACGAGTTAGATCAAAGAAATTGTTTCGCTTCAAACGACCCTCACACTGCTTTAGGATTTGCACACTCTTGCGGAAGAGAGAACTGCCTCTGAATAAGGGTGAGCAAATTGAACCTTTTCGCATGTGATTGAATATGTATTATTTGCATCAATTGAAAGTTTCGTATCGATAACCATTAACGTTTAGTGATAAACACTTTTCTTCTCGGCGAGGTTTTGAACTTCGCGCGACGCCTCTCGAGTAGCCCGCCTCGCCCCCTCGCGCCACGGAAGAGAGGAGTGCGGAGGCAGGCAGCGTTGGGGCGTTCCTCTTCCTCTGCCGAGGGCAGCGGACCGGGGCGGCTGCGCGGCGCGTGCGCACGCAGTTGTGATGAAAAAGTGACTCCCAGAATTTTTCATTTTCTTTACGCTTCGGGTATTATTTTATACGAATTATGTGAGTTGGTTTCGATTTCTCTAACGTGAAAAAAATGAAACTGATAAACTAGTTTAGGCACATTGCCGGCTGGCTACTGCTTGAAAGTTGCTGTTCACTGAAGTATGAGAAATTTTGAAGCCGATTCAGCAATGTCCTGAAAAATCGTATCATTCGCACTAAAGAAAGAAAACTCCACCGCCACTCGAATGACATTGCGCTTGGCAAGTCACTTAAGTATCTTGTTCAAGCACAGGTGATCATTGCGCAGCTCAGGAGGAGGAAAATGTGTACGATTTTAAAGGTCACGTCATAGTTGCACAACGGTAGACAGCCAGGTTGCCCCGCCCACCTCCATCCCAACCTTCATCCTCTTTCCTTTAGCGAATTTCAATTAAGGCTTTGGCGCGAACGCGAAAGCTTTGTCGCTGGGCCATTCGCCGTCTCCGTCACTCCCGTCCCGTTACAGCCCGTGTCACGCGGAGAGAGAGATAGAGGGAGGGAGGGAGGGAG